CTAATAAGATAAAATTATAATTTCTAAATATAAATTAAAATTTTTAATATTTTTAAAAGTTAAAATTAATACGTATTAATTTTATATATTTGTATATATATATAATTAGATGTTTCAAATTTGAATTGAGAAAATCTCAATTTAGCAAATTTTATTGCCTTTAACTTATATCAAATTATAAAATAAAAGTATTAAATTAAAAGAGAGGTTGAATAACAAAAGACTTATTTTTATTTATTCATTAATGTAATTTAATTTAATACAATATAAACTATAAAACACTTTTATATTTGTTATGTCATTTACTTAAATTTTTTTAAAAAAAAGAAAAGGGGGACGAAGTCATATTAGTGCCACTTGTTAAATGCCTGCCAAGCTTGGGATAATGGAAAAATTACGTGGAACGATGTTAACAGTTAAATGCTAAGCCAATTGTTGTATTTAATTAGTTGATTGAGCAATTTGTCTCGTTTTCTTATTTAATGGTCGTCTGTACCTATCACAATAGTTTACCAAAAGTAGATTTGAACATTTTGCCCTCACATTCGGGCCCCTACATCGCCACACCTTCCCACGTGAATTTCATTTATTTTATTAAATATTTTTTAAAAATTATTTTCCCAATTTTTCTTTTTGTTTTTTTTTTGTTATTTCCTTTTTTTTTTTTAGTGGCAATTTGTATTGGCAAATTACGCATGTCAACCCCTCTACTTGACTTCTAATTGAAGAGTCAGCCCTTTAACTTATTTCGATGGCGAACAAACCATTTGAGTTATTAAGTTGGGCAAATTAGCCCTTATTTACACCTAGGCACCTTACAGGTAATGTGCTAGCTTTAAAACCCTAAGCATTAGTGAGATGTTAGACTTCACTTGTAAGTATCCCACAATAGAAGTTTTCTAACATAGAGTAATTTACATTTAAATTAGAAATAGTGTAAAAATCCTTCAAGATGTGATTGGTAATAGTAAAAGAAGATACCCTTCCATCAATGAAAATTATTAAATCATTAGCAAAACAAGGTGAGTTTGGTGTACCTTTGCACATTTTTGGTGGTAGACCAGCTATTCTTCTAAGGCGGCTGTCTTCTTTATGCAAATTACTAAATTTTCATTAAAAACCATAGAGTTCCCTTGGTGTAATAATACAAGCCTTTAGCAATTGTATTAATTGATAAGTGAAATAAATGGCTTCTAGTATATAGAGGAGAAACCCCAATATATAGAATCAAAGGCCTTCATCAAATCAATTTTTAAAGCACACCTTGAGCTAAGGTTTTGTTTGTGCTAGTGCTTCACAATATCATGGCCAAAAGCAGATTCTCTACCATCAGTATCCTTTTCACAAATGCAAATTGATTTTGTCTTGTGAACAGTGGCAAACATTTATTCAATCTCTCAGCCAATATCTTGATGACAAATTTGTAGAGCAAATTATAGCAAGCTATTGGACAAAACTCAATTATCATTTTGAGTAAGTGAATAGTAAGGCTTTGCAAAGGAGGAAGGAAGAAGAACGGTTGGTGCTCTTTTGAGAAAGGAAAGAAAAATTGAAAAAAAATGTTAAATTATCTAATGTGTAAAATGTGTGCCAATGGTGGGTCCTGTGTAGGTGGAACCCAAAAGAAAATAATAAGAGTGGGTTAAATGTTTGGATGTTGTCGTTTAATAGTAAACATTAGAATAATGTTAGAGACTTCATGGGCAGAGGGAGGACATTGAGCACTTTTTTAATGGTGGAGGATGAAATGACGAGCTCAAATAGAAGTAGAATTGAAGTAGAAGGACGAGCTGAGCTGATTTCTTAATACAAGGATAAGATTGACCTTTTCTTACAAAGTAGAAGGACACCTATTGGCTTTAACCCAACTTATTGACCAAGGAACCGAAAAACGCATCGCTCGCGCCATTAGTCAGTCGCGCCGAATAAAATATTTTACGACTTCCGTTCCTATCTTGCTTCTTCTTTTTTTTAGTTTTACCTTTTTTTTTTACGAATAAGAACTTAGGTTTAGTTTGAAAATTTTGTATATGTAGTTGTTAAGTATTTGATTTTTTTTTATTTTAAAAATATTTATATTTTATATATTTTTAAAATAATAAAAGGTATAAAAGTTGAAAATTAAAGTATTAATAGGTGTAGTCAAAAAAATAATATTTAAAAGCCTAAAAAAGGGTGGCTAAACCTATTAATAAATTGCAAATTTATAGCCTAAATGTGAAATTTGGGAATTTCATTAATTTTTAAAACTACTTGAATTATTTTTGTTATCATTTTATAATTAAATTATTTTACATAAATCTCTATTTAAACAAACATTTTTATAAAAGTTTCAATTACGCTAATAAAGCCCTAAAAAATTTTCTAAAAGTTCTATATGGACAAATTTTTAACATAATTTTGACAAAGAAAATAAAAGAGAGATTCCTTTCTTTTCTTGACAACTGGCCTGATAAGTTTTTGTACTTATTATTCTTTTGTTATTTAAATAACAAAATGCTATAATTAAATGCAATAATTTCCACGACAAAGTT